GCAGTTATAACTAGATGAAGGCAAGTTTTTAAAAATGTCTATTGTGCTTCTAGTTAAATGTGGCGAGTTTGTTATTTTAAATGTCTATGGGTACTTGTAGTTATAACTAGATGTAGACAATTTTTAAAAATGTCAAGAGTACTTGTACTTATAACTAGATGTAGCCGTTTGTTTTTTAATGTCTATTGGTAATTCTAGTTAGATGTTGGCAAGTTTTTTAAATGTCTATGGGTACTTATAGTTATAACTAGATAGGCAAGTTTTTTTTTAATGGCTATGGGTACTTGTAGTTACAACTAGACGCAGGCAAGTTGTAAATGTCTATTGGTAATTCTAGTTAAATGTAGCCTATTTTTTCATGCCTATGGGTACTCATCGTTAAAAATAGACGTAGGCAAGTCATAGTCTGCTTCTCGTAGAATCGCTCTCACCGCATGTAGTGTCAGAGACTTTGATGAGGGCGGGGTTGTTGCAGCGGGCGATCTCGAAGAAGCAGATGTTGTCGTAGGTGTTTCCGTCGCTGCCACACACGGGTCGGAGGTCCTTGGGGCAGCCGGCGAGGGGCGAGCAGTCTGCGGCGGAGAAATTGGCGAGGTGTTGGTGGGGCATTTTGTGGGTGTGGGACGTGTGTGTGTGTGGGGGGGGGGGTAGGGTGGAAATGGTATTAGAATTAATAGGAATTCGAGACTTAAGAGAGCTTTGAGAAAGGAAGGGAGATTGAGAGAGAGGGAGAGAGAGAGAGAGAGAGAGAGAGAGAGAGAGAGAGAGAGAGAGAGAGAGAGAGAGAGAGAGAGAGAGAGAGAGAGAGAGAGAGAGAGAGAGAGAGAAGAGAACAGTAAAATAATTTTTTTAACCGATACTGAAAACTTACCGCAGTTACCGTCTCGAACCTTCGTCAGACCTGGAATCTTGCAAGCAGTTGCCTCGAAAAAGCAGTCGTTATCGTAGGTCTTGCCGTCGCTGCCACACACGGGGGCGTAGATCTTCGTGCACGCGATGGGGTTGCAGCCTGGGGGGGGGGGGGGGAGAGTTGGCAAGATGTTAGAAAGAGGGAGGAGGGTTGAACTGTACTTGGGTCCTGCATATCTCTTTCTTTCTCTCTCTCTCTCTCTCTTTTCTCCTCACTTTCTCTTTCTCCATCTATCTCTATCTCTCACTTCCCCCACCCTCTCCCTCTCTAACTCTCACCATTACTCTCTCTCATTTCTCTTTGCGCGCCACACACACACACATACACACACACACACACACATTTGCATACAAACATAAAGAAAGACGACATGTCTACATCTCCATCCCCGGCCCACAGCAGACAGACAGACACCTTTTCCCAATTCCAAACGACTCACCACAACGACCGACTCACCACAACGACCGACTCACCACAACGACCGTCTCACCACAACGACCGACTCACCACAACGACCGTCGTATTTCTTGGTCACGTTAACGCCCTTGCAGATCTGGTCGTCCTCGAGGTAGCATATGTTGGGGTAGGTCTTGTCGTTGGTCCCGCAAACGGGGTGATATAACGAGGGGCATGTTGCTGGGCATATTTTGGGGTGGTCTGAAATGAGGTCATTCTATGTTGACAAAGGTGTTTCCTATGATCTATGATAACTGTGTTCCTATGGTAATGATAATGATAATAATAAAAACAGTAACAGCAGCAGCAATTATAATGATGATAACAATAAGGATGATAATGATTAAGAATGACAATAATAATGATAATGAAAATTATATCAAGGACAAAGATATGTATATAGAAGTATTACATAGATATATATTTAAACCTATTATACCTATCCTTTCGAGGTATTTTCGTTATCGGTAAGGTAAATAATGATAATAATGATAATAGTAATTATAAATAGTGATAATAATAATAACGATGATATAAATGATAATAATACTAATAATAAAAACAGTAACAACAACAATAATAATAATAACAACAAGAATGATAATAATAACAATACGAATGACAATAATAATGATAATAGAAAGAATATTAAGAAAAATGATAATGATGATCTTAACAACAACAACACCAACACTAATAATGGCAATAAGAATAACAATGCAACTAATAAGAAATAAAAGCAACAAAAGCCTCCTTCACCCACGGCAGAGGCCTTCGTTGTGGAGGGTGACCCTCACGCCCCGGCAGGCAGCTCTCTCCAGGTGGCATGGGCTCTGGTACAGCTTCCCGTCAGTGCCACACACGGGGGAGACGTCCTGGCAGTTTTGGTCGCAGAGTCGTGCTCTCCCTCCCTCTGGGTCGTGGGGGAGAGAGGAGGGGGTCAGACAGGGAAATTTTGCGAGTATTATTATTATTATTATTATTATTATTATTATTATTTTTTTTTTTTTTTTTTTTGCAAATGGTTCATTATGATGGGGTATGTGTGAAAATGATCGCACGGGATATCTGTTCTTATATATTCTTTTCCTTTATTTTTGCATGATATAATTGGTCCATTATGATGAGGTATGTTAGAGTGAAATTAGCGAGCAGTATATCTTTTATTTTATATTATTTTTTTTATACATGATGTAAATGGTCCATCATGATAAGGTATGTTAGAGTGAAATTAGCGAGCAGTGTCTTTTTCACTTTTTGCCATTAATGATATAATTGGTTTCATTTTGACGCGAGTAATTTTAAAATAGATTGAAATAAGCAAATGATTCATCTAAATTTCCTAATATCATATAAATGTTTAGTTAGAACAGAATATGTTACATGGTATTGGAGGTAACTGACCATACCAACATGGTATCTAAATTGGTAATTTATATTTCATACTAAAAACTAAACTTAATTTAAATTGGTAATTTATATTTCATACTAAAAACTAAACTAATTTAAATTGGTAATTTATATTTCATACTAAAAACTAAACTCAATTAATTAACACCTTGATAATATGCCTCCGATTTTTTGAATAAATCGTTGAACAAATGAAATGGACGATATAACTACCTACATTGCTAATATTACACCTAGATAAGTTGCAACTTACTACCTACACTTGCTAAATATTACACCAAGATAAGTTAGAAATATCATAAAGCAAACACTTTGATAATTTGCCTCCCATATTTTCCACCAAATTCTTGAATAAATCAACGATATAACTACACAAATTCCTAATATTACACCAAGATAAGTTAGAAATATTTTTACAACTTACTACCTAAACTTGCTAAATATTACACCAAAATAAGTTAGAAATATCATTGTATCTTACTACCTAAACTTACTAACATTACACCAAGATATTTTAGAAATATTATATAAACTTACTACCCAAACTTACTAAATATTACACCAAGATAAGTTAGAAATATTTTTTACAACTTACTAAGCTTGCTAATATTACAGCAAGATAAGTCAGAAATATTATCGCAACTGCCTAATATTACACCAAGATAAGTTAGAAATAACAACTCGCTAACTAAAACTTGCTAAACACTAAGTTAGAAATATTATCGCAACTTACTACCTAATCTTGCTAATATTACACCAAGATAAGTCAGAAACATCACTGCAACTTACCACCTAGTCTTACTAATATTACACCAAAATAAGTTAGAAATATTATCGCAACTTACTACCCAAACTTGCTAATATTACACCAAGATAAGTCAGAAACATCACTGCAACTTACTCCCGTAGCCAGAGACTGCAACGACCACCACAAGAAAGGTGAAAAGGAACACTTTGTTGGCCATCTTCCTTTGTCTTGAGGTCTGTGAAGAAAATATATTCTTTGTTATAATTTATATACTGTTGATATACTTTTATTTACTGTTTGTATACTTTGATATACCTTTTATATAGTTTGATATACTTTTTATATACTGTTCATATATTTTGATATATACTTTTATGTTTATTTATACTTTGATATACTTTATAAAAACTCACATACGGATGCTAGTATATGTAATCACAAAATTGATACTGTTAATTTTGTTAATTTTTTTATATATAACTCCAATCATGTAATGATATATAAATATATATATATAATATTTACATTAAATATATATTATATATATTATATATATATATATATATATATATATATTTATGTATATATATGTATATATATTACTGATTCATATATACATATATATATATATATATATATATATATATATATATATATATATATAATATATATATATATATATATAATATATATATATATATATATATATATATATATATATATAACAGTATTACTGTTATTTTCATCAGTATTATTATTGTTATTTGTATCATTATTATCATTACTATTATCATTACCATTATTACATATAACGCCAATTGTATATATACATAAACGATATAAAATTCCTTAATGATTATATCAGTTTTTTGCATTAAAAAAATGGTTGCCAACATAAAAAAAAAAAAAAATTGTGATATTAGAAATTAATATAATCAATTTATAGTCATATTAATTCTTTGACATAACTACTGAGCAGCGCTGCCACCATCCGGGTTTTGGTTTAAAATAGGAGGTATCTCGAAAAAACCCTTATTGTGTTAATTTGGTAGCTGGTTCTCGGGTGGTGGTGCTGTCAATTAAGTATGGTTTATATAGTGTTACAGTTTGAGACATTTATTAACACAAAATTAATAAGTGTTTATATAACAAAAACAAAAGAAATCAAGCAATTTCAGTATGACACCTCTAGGCCATAATATACCAGAGGAAACAAATTCCTATTTCTCCTTTCCAGCACAAATAAAACTGCTATGTTGACCTTGACTTAAGGCTTATTATACCATTTCCTGCCCCTAGCATTACATTGCAACCCCCAATTTCCCCTCAAGGAACAACACGCCATAAACTAAACTCTCTCACTGACACCATACATGAAAATAAAAATTGAACACCACTTTGCTGGACTGTGGGGGCGGGGGGTAGGCCTTTCTCCCACCCCCGTCATTCACTCGCGAAAATACCATCTCGACCCTTCTTTAACCACTTCGGTCTTGACACAGGCATCACAGGACCTATCCTCTTCGACGAGACCCTCACGCCGATGGTCCTTGATGGTCTTAGGAGGTAGGATTTTCTCTCGAGCACAGTTGGGGGCTCCAAGATGGCGTCCGCCGGCTGCGACGTCTTCCTCGGCTCTTTCTCGGTCAGTTTGGCGCTTCGAGAAGGACTCAGCTACACATTCCATATATATGGGTATCCCCCCCCTTATTAGATACTTTAATTCTCCCATTTACCTCATTTTAACACTAAATTCGGCCTCGACAAGAGACGCTCTCTCTCTCCCACCTGTCCTTATGGCATTTCGAGAACTGACCAGAGGCGTTCCAATGTTGCCAACTTTCCTCCCCGCAACATCCCTCCTCCCAAAATTGCACCCAGCCCAGCACCATTATCAAGAAAACACATTTCCAACAGTCGGTTCACAACTCACTGACACGAGAAATTTTACTATATTCAAATTAGATCCAAACAGATGTGGCAATGCATCCCAACCGTTCTGTGAAGGCCGTCTAAAATGTATCCAAATATTAATGTCAAATCAACGACTCTGACAGTTACACAGGAATACAATAGCGGCAATTTCTCTGATATATATATATATATATATATATATTTATATATATTATATATATATATATATAATATATTCATATATATATTTGTATTTGTTTTAATTCATATCCAAAACGGATAAATCTACGCTCATGTACAGTGATGTTAGAAAAATTCTAGCTAATGTTTCATTGTCTGATCCGTGCTTCCTGTCACGTGATTGGTTCAAATCGACAACATCAACAGCAACAAAATGAAAAATGAATAAAATGTTCAAATCAACAACAAAAACAACAACAGTAAACTGAAAAAAATACAACAAATACAACAAAACAAAAAACAAAAAAACAAAAAAATAAAAAAAAACAACATCGAAACAAAAACAAAACAACAACAAGAAAAACATCAAAAACAACATGAAAAAAACAACAAAAAAAAAACAACATGAAAAAACATAAAAACAAAAACAACAACTAAAAAACAACAACAACAAAAACAATAACATGAAAAACAACAAAATCATAAACAACAACAAAAACAACATGAAAAACATCATCAACAACAACAATTTTAGATATTAAAGTATAGGCACAAAGTATTTCTATCCATATACCTGTAAACAAACAAACAAACAAAATGATGCGTAGATACATAATGTTCATGTCGAGATCCAGGCGTCAAAACAAAAGAGAAAAATAATCATAATAAAATAGAAATAAGATCAAAAGAATGAAATAAAGATAGAAAAGAGTATACACAAAATGATAAATAGATTTGAAAGTAACAAACCGTTATAAGTATTATTCCGGGAAACTAGTGTATCTGTGACTAAAGTAATTTTAAGGATTTATAAGTACAAGGTGACAGCAAGTTCCCACCTGCCTGACTGTAGTGTAACTGGTGCACGTTTTAGCTGTCATTCTTTTAAATTATATCTAGGACCTCCCCTCCCCCCCCCACATAACTCAGTGTCACCCCTCCCACCCCCTTCCCCTTCTCCCTCTCCCCCTCGCGTCTCTCCTCCCTCGCGTTCTCTATCTCTTCTTCTTCCTCTCTCATCTCCCCCTTTCTATCTTCTCTCCTCTCTCCTTCCTCCTTCATTCTCTCCCTCCTCTCCCCCCCCCCACATAACGCACCCCCCTCCCCCTCCCCCACCCTCTTCCCCCTCCTCCCCACCCGTTTATCTGTATCTGCTTCTCACTTCCTCTCTCTCCTCTTCTCTTCTTCTCTTGCCTCCTCTTATCTCCTTCCTTCTCTTTCCCCTTCCCTCCTCTTCCCCTTCCGCTCGCTCCACCCCATTCACCTCGCCCCTCCTTCCCTCCCACTTCTCTCCCCTCCATCCATTTCTCCTCTCTCTCCTTCCTCCCTTCCTCTCTCTCCTTCCACCTTCCCACCTCCCCTTCTCATCCTTCCTTCCCTCTTCCTCCCCTACTCCTCCCCCCCTCCGCTTCTCCAACCTCACTCCCTTCTCCTCCATCCGCTCCCACCTCCCACCTCCCCCTCCACTCCTCCCTCCTCCTCCCACCCACCTCCCCCACTCCTCCCTGCCACCTTCCCCTTTCTCCTACCTCCCCCTTCGCCCTCCCTCTTCCCCACTCCTCCTCCAGCTTCCACCCTCCCACCTCCCCTCCCTCCCCCCCTCCCCTTCCCAACTCCATTTCTCCAATCTGTTCTCTCTGTAATAACGCCCTTGGTCCATAATTCCATTGTGTTCATGTGTTCCATCGTCCTTATGAACAAAAAGTCATTGTAGAATCCTGGACCATGCCAACTTCGCTTGGGTACAGTGTTGTATGTTATAATTTGCTCCAGAGAGAGGGAGGGAGGGAGGCAGAGAGAGAGAGAGAGAGAGAGAAGAGAGAGAGAGAGAGAGGAGAGAGAGAGAAGAGTAGAGAGAGAGATGAGAGAGAGGAGAGAGAGAGAGAGAGAGAGAGAGAGAGAGAGCGAGAGAGAGAGAGATGAGAGAGAGAGAGAGAAGAGAAGAGAACAAGGAAGGGAGAGGGAGGGAGGGAGGGAGGGAGGGAGGAAAAGAAGAGAGAGAGGGAGAGAGAAAGGAGGAGAAGAGAGAGGAGAGAGAGAGAGAGAGAGAGATAGAGAGAGAGAGAGAGAGAGAGAGAGAGAGAGAGAGAGAGAGAGAGAGGAGAGAGAGAGAGAGAGAGAAGAGAGAGAGAGAGAGAGAGAGAGAGAGAGAGAGAGAGAGAGAAAAGAGATGAGAGGGAGAGAGGGTAGAGAGGAGAGAGGAGAGGGAGATAGGGAGGTAAGAGGGAGAGAGAGAGAGGGAGAGGGAGGAGAGAGAGATGAGAGAGAAGTGGAGAGAGAGAGAGAAAGAGACATAGAAAAATAGATAGACAGATAGAGAGAGAGAGAGAATAATCATCAGATCATCAGACTGCAAAGGCATTCCACTGCAATCTTTTTCGAATCTTTCCAATCTTGCTCTCTCTGTTTCTCAATCTTTGTCCTTCCGAATCCCATCCCGTCAATGTTTTCTTCTCCTTCTTGACTTATTTACATTCTGGCTACTTTCCTTCTCCACTCGTCCTGTCTCGGGGGGGGGGGGGCGTGAACTGCCCATTGCCATTTCTTCTTCTTAGTGCTCCTTCGCATGTCTTCCACTGGTGTTGCTGTTGAGTGTGTACGAATATATATATATATATATATAATATATATCATAATATATATATATATATATATATGCCGTGTTGGTGTGGTGTTGGTGTGGTGAGTGGTGTGTGTGTGGTGTGTGGTGTGTGTTGTGTTGCGTGTGTGTGTGTGTGTGTGTGTGTGTGTGTGTGTGTGTGTGTGTGTGTGTGTGTGTGTGTGTGTGTGTGTGCGTGTGTGCTTTCTGTTGTACACGAAACCTCTGCTAATCTTTTATTGGATAAGGATAATCAAACTGATCCAAGTTTTTTTTTCATCCATTTATTCAATGAAGTGATATTAAAGAAGACATATGACCAAAATTGAAACCGACTACAGTGCCTCGAAATATATTGTTATAATGATAAATGATATATAACAAATATAATAATGATAAAAAATAATGGGAAATAATAAGATAGGAGGAAGGTGATAAATAAATGTTATAATGATAAGCAATAATTCTTAAAAGCATATATCAATTACAAGTTAATATATAAACAAATGTATAACACTAATAATTGCTATTCAATAAGCAATATTGTCTCACATTTTAGCATCTATTTTGTCTATTAAAATCTTAAAGGTCACTTTTACTCCTATTTATATGTTTTGCCCAAAATCTGCTCTTCATTATCATTTTTTTTTATAAATTATCATCAACAAATTAATAAATTGTGAATTTTTTTTTTTTAACTACCAGAACGAAATTCTCGGATTCATCATATCACACTAAAGAGTAAAAAATTAACAAAAATGAAAAAAAGTAAAGAAAAAGGAAAACTGCTAAATGTCTTCTGGTGTTTTCTTTAATACCCCTTCTTTATAGGCACGACCTTTCGACCTGTAATAAAAGAAGAGTGAGAAAAGTTAATGTTTATCGTTTATAATTCTTTATAGGCACAACTTATGTAATAATCATAAGTGAGAAAAGTTAAAGTTCTTAATTTATAATTCTTTTAAAGGGACAACCTTTCGACCTGCAGTGATGTGAGAAAAGTTTATGATTATAAGTATATTCATTTACTAACGTCTCATTGGAGATTCTTAATGGTTGTGAATAGTTGTATTGATTTAGGATAGTTATTTGCTTTTAATTCATTCATTCAGATATATATTACAGTTCGTGATATTGAAATTTATGCAATCTTTGTAACATTAACGCCTATTTTCTTTCATCTATTACAACGTAAACGCATCTACACATCAATCATATATTGATATGTTCTATATATTCATCTTTATGTATTCATGTGATTTATATGATATATATCTATTCTTAAACATCAATATGATTCATATGATTTGTATATTTATCTGTATATATTCATATGACATATATATCTATCTTTATATATTTATATGATTTAAATTATTCATATATTTATCTACTTATCAGCTATACATCATTTTATTTCGTTTAATGACCGACAGCACAACACAAACACACACACAGACACACACACACACACACACACACACACACACACACAGCACACACACACACACACACACACACACACACAGCACACAGCACCACATACAGCAGGAACAAGAGCAGCAACAGAAGCCACTCAGCGGCGCCTCACCACACGGTCCGTCAGACAATTTGAAGAGCAACGGTTCTTGCACTTTGCAATCTCGAAGAAGCAGATGTTGTTGTAGGTTTCTCCGTCACTGCCACAACACGGGCCGGTAGTTCTTGGGGCAGCCGAGGAGGGGAGTGCAGTCTGAGGAGGAGCGAGTTGAGTCGAAGTGTTAGGCTGGTGTCCTCGGGGCTT